AACAATTTCGGTTTCAAATACCCCGGGAAAGTGTTCTATGTTCTTCGTGTAATCAGTTGTTCGTGTTTAAGGGATTTTGTTATCGGTTGGCTTAATATTACCCCAACGGATCGTATTTCTGTGAAAGTTTGGAATTTTTGTCCTGATTTATAGGAATCTGAAAAACGTTTTCACAACTTGTCTCTTATTTAGTTTTATGCCGCATTCAAGATAGAGGCCCCCATATATCTTATTTGCATAGTTTAAAACTGCTCGCTGACTAGCTCTTAAAAGTTGAAATGCTAGTGTACGTAGCTCCACCTACAAATATCTCCCCAAAATAACTAAATCAACCAACATCGTTCTGTACACATGCAGTAGTTGGGGTATATCTTTAGGTAATTTATAATAAACAAAATTCAATGGAATCCACCAGGGAGAAAATAGAAAAATCATGAACGAAGCAGAGCATCATGGGTATTCAGAGCATTATGGGTATTCAGGGCATTATGGGTATTCAGGGCATTATGGGTATTCAGGGCATCATGGGTATTCAGGACATTATGGGTATTCAGGGCATCATGGGTATTCAGGGCATCATGGGTATTCAGGGCATCATGGGTACTCAGGGCATCATGGGTATTCAGGGCATTATGGGTATTCAGGGCATTATGGGTACTCAGAGCATCATGGGTATTCAGGGCATTATGGGTATTCATGGCATCATGGGTATTCAGGGCATTACGGGTATTCAGGGCATCATGGGTATTCAGAGCATCATGGGTATTCAGGGCATCATGGGTATTCAGGGCATTATGGGTATTCAGGGCATACTGGGTATTCAGGGCATCATGGGTATTCAGGGCATCATGGGTATTCAGGGCATCATGGGTATTTTCTGATTACTGCTTACAAACTTCAAAATGATGAGTTGTTAGACAAATTTAACATCGCCTTTCATCAATCCTTAAACACGGAATTCCATAGTTTATACTACAGAGTGCATCGCATCATTCATAATTTGAATTACGTATTTCAAAGCAAAATATAGTTTGGGTGTATATAAAGACTAAATTTTATGTTTAATTTTTGCAGGTATTAACATGCCCGAGCACAGGCAGAGAAACAAAGCATTTCATAGTTTGCTCTGTTTTTCGGAGTAACTCATTGTTTTATTCGACTTTTTTTCTCTTGTTTCAAATCCACGAATGTCCCTGCTTTTATGTGTGTGGTAGATTTTCATCCGTTTTGATGAGCGTTACACAGAGTGTTTAACGTTTCCGTCAAGTATTTCTCTTACGGTAAAAAAAAATACTATTTTCAAATTACAGCAGGAAATTTAATTATCTGTAAACAAAATACAACATCCTGGCACTATCACCAGCATCTGTGACCATCACGTATTCATGATTCAACAACAAGTACGTGTGCTACTCATTATTATATCGCTATCACGTGCATCCGGCAGATAACCGGTTGAATGCAGACAAAAAACGAACGCGAATCAACAACATCCATTGATTTCCCATATGTGCACGGACCACTAAAATAAAAATTTCACCATTACTCTTTTATTTCAATTAACTGTTTTTTATCTGGGAAATTCCTTATTTGAACGTGTATTCTTGCCGTTTGCGCGTGAATGGTGTACGGGATCCTGCGTGAAATCAAACGTAAACGCTACACAAACAAATTCAATATCCCTGGCAGAGTTCTATTTATGCGAATACTTTCGGTGATCTAACCGCAAGGAACTCTGGGAAGGAGAATGAAACAAATTGTCATAGGCTTCGTACCGACGTCAAAACATCTCGTGTGATTCGACAAACGCAAAGAGTACTTTTTGGGTATTTTCATGCTAAATAACTTGCTGTAAACATTTGATAAGGGTTATTTTTTAATAAAGTAAGGATGTTTCAATGTCATATTTCTTTTTGAAAACTCAGCATTTCGATATTAACTACAAGGAAAAGAGTTTCAAGTTCGAAATCAAATTGTTCGGTTTTTATGTCAGACGCTCGGTCCGCCCTTTCATCCATTACGCGAGATCTCGCAGGAAAATCACCTATTCTGTAGAGTATCATTTGTTTGTTCCTGTATCGCTCACATCGTTTAAAATAGACATTCATGCTTACTTTCATTAAATAAATAAATAAATAAAACAGCACACGGTCACTATAGTAACTGTCTCATGTGACGATTAGTTGAGATGGACAGACATTGTAATAAACTGATAATGTAGACGAAGTGCTTCTATGACGTAAATTACCATAGTAACGTCGCTCACATCGGTTTTACTGCTTTTATCTGCAGTCGTCTTCACTCTCTTTAGAAATTTTATATCATGTAAATGACATGCGACTAAACAGTTGTTTATTTGAACGACGTTTCTCTCCTCCATTTTGCCTGTTAATAATAAGTAGTCCAAGTGCGTAATGTCTTAGTCGTTCTAAAGACAGAATATGTCAAATACACCAAAGTACGTCTGGTTTATTTTCCGAACGCTATCAATACCCATGAAACGAACTCGTTGCCGTACTAGAATATCGCGAGCGCCAACCTGTGGTAGGGATGTGGCGGAGAGGAGTTTCGCCGCTGCTGGCGTGCTTGAGAAATCTATAATTTTGTTAAAACGCCACCAGCGACCAATAAGAGAGCGTACTCGTGCAAGCATAACATGCAAGGTATTGTACGTGATTCTCTTTGTCCCGAGAACGTGCTTGACCCCAGGTATCCGGCTGCCATTAAAACAAATGACCAGATTTCCCTCAGAGGGGGTGGTCGGCAAAATGCTGGAGAGGGTCTAGATTTCAACATTTTTAAAGGGGAGCATGCCCTTTAGAGTAGTTGTTTGAGCTTAAATTATTAATGGAAATTCTGAAATTGTCCGTGTTTAGAATAAAGCTTTGCAGGGGTGGAAGATGAAACAAAGATTACATTTTGCATCTAAGTTTTCTTTTGCTTTTCATGGATTAGCATATAAAACGCATAAAGCAGCAAGGTAAAAGATTAGCCTGACAAGGTTGTGTGATTTGCACCCTCTGCGGTGCTCCAAACCCAACAGTAAGTGGGGTCTGATGCTGTTCGCCTGCGAGGGCACCACTCACGCCTACATGTTAGGCGAGTTAAATGAACTTTAGACCCAAATAATAATTGATGTTTTTCAAAAGAATGTCCCCCTTCCGCTAACACCTGGTGTTGCAATCCTGTAAAGGTCTTGAGTGGCATAATGTACCTGCCTAAAATATTTACCCATAATTGCACATTCTTTTTATCAAGGTTGCAAACCCGACTTTCAGTCGAGTGCCCTCCCCCTTCCTAAAAAACCTTGTGTTAGATGGCTTCTTAAAGGGTGAAAGTCGTTGTGCCGCGTCATGTTCGATATGTAGTCTGGGGGCCCAGGGTGAACATTTTCACAGACGTAGCACCCCCCTTGTGAAAAGCAACAACACACTTTTTCATAGAAGTGTCCTTTGGTAACTTATTTGGGGGGTGTCCCTAAAAAGTGGTAGCAAGGTGTAGATTTCGAGGATTGTTGTACACTGTTAAAAAACGATTTTTGACAAACTTTAAATTTCACCATCAAATAACGAAAATTGTCTGGTTTGAATATTGTTGTTTTTAATCAGTAAAAACAAATTCCAGTCATCCAACATTGTTAATCAAGGTTATGTATTGTATTTCTTATTGTACATAGGATTGCTTAGGAGTGATCCATTGGAAAAGCTGTGGGGGGGGGGGAGGATGGCAGAACAACTGTGCAACATATTTGTTTTCTTCACTTAGTTTTGTGCAAATTTTTGTTTTGTCAATATGCTACTTTTTCCCCCTTTTCTCATAATTTTTTCCTGTGCAATTGTTTTTCCAATTCTGCTGTCACCGCCCGAGTTTTTAATGGTCTACCCTTAGTTAAAAGGTTGAGAATGGGACTCATAGCGACGTATACAACGTGTGTAAAAAACATTGTTTATTTACATGAAATTCGAACACGCGCTGCGCGACGACCACCGCGCTTTAATCAGCTTACTCATTATGTTCTGCAGATACATTTACAAGGGTATACCACGTATATATTCATGTGACTTAACAGAAGATGAAATGATGGAATAAAAACTATTTTCTGGGACAAAACAAGTCCTGTAGCTCACTCGCTTTAAACAAGATTTTGTCGTACATTTGCGTTTAAGGTCAACTTCATTTACATTTGTTAACGGTTTACTTCGATGATCTCTATTTCAATGAAGAAAAGTATTACTGCTTGTATTTACCATCTTTCAAACAAATTGGTATTCACTCGCAGATTTCTGTGTTCAGGGAAAGAGGGGGACATTGGGAGAGTCATAAATAACATGATCATAGATTGAGTTAAAGATGACGTCATAGGTTGAGGTTGAGTCAGAGAAGGAGTCACAGAATACAAGATAGAGTCACTTGATGGAGATACAGGTAGGTAGTCAAATATGCGATATTGTAAGCACATTAATTATTGACTAGTTTTTCAGAAATAGCATCATAGATTGAGTGAAATATGACATCATATGTCGAGGTTGAGTCAAGGAAGGAGTCACAGAATACAAGATAGAGTCACTTGATGGAGATACAGGTAGGTAGAGTAACATATGCGATATTGTAAGCACATTAATTATTGACTAGTTTTTCAGAAATAGCATCATAGATTGAGTGAAATAGGACATCATATGTCGAGGTTGAGTCAGGAAAGGAGTCACAGAATACAAGATAGAGTCACTTGATGGAGATACAGGTAGGTAGAGTAACATATGCGATATTGTAAGCACATTAATTATTGACTAGTTTTTCAGAAATAGCATCATAGATTGAGTGAAATATGACATCATATGTCGAGGTTGAGTCAAGGAAGGAGTCACAGAATACAAGATAGAGTCACTTGATGGAGATACAGGTAGGTAGATTAACATATGCGATATTGTAAGCACATTAATTATTCACTTATTTTTCAGAAATAGCATCATAGATTGAGTGAAATATGACGTCATATGTCGAGGTTGAGTCAAGGAAGGAGTCACAGAATGCAAGATAGAGTCAGGAAAGGAGTCACAGAATACAAGATAGAGTCACTTGATGGAGATACAGGTAGGTAGAGTAACATATGCGATATTGTAAGCACATTAATTATTGACTAGTTTTTCAGAAATAGCATCATAGATTGAGTGAAATATGACATCATATGTCGAGGTTGAGTCAAGGAAGGAGTCACAGAATACAAGATAGAGTCACTTGATGGAGATACAGGTAGGTAGATTAACATATGCGATATTGTAAGCACATTAATTATTGACTAGATTTTAACTTTTTATTTTTGTTGATAGGTAAAATTCACTGAATTAAATCCACGTGAACATGTAAAATAACAATTGAACTCATTGTTTTCCTGCCAAGCAAAGCATCAAAATAGTGAAATTAAATGCAAGCAAAAAAAAATGATTTTACTGTAGTTTGCCGAATGGAAATAAATAAATGCAGCAATGTGTGTGAAAATGCCCCGAAAAAATAAATGATTTTACTGTAGTTTGGCGAATGGAAAGCGATAAATGCACCAATGTGTGTGAAAATGCCCCCAAAAAATAAATGATTTTACTGTAGTTTGGCGAATGAAAAGAGATAAATGCATCAATATGTGTGAAAATGCCCCCAAAAAATAAATGAT